AACGGAAATCCCTGCCAGAAACAAACAATTCATGTTGCGCCGCTGAATCATAGTGCGGATTGGAAAGGAAAGTGGCCGAAAGAAGTGCAGGTGATTGGTGCGATGGGTGTAGCGGGATTTTGGCCTGAAGCGTGTGTCGCAAGGCTTGTAACAAGGCAGATTTCGATGTTCGACGCTGTACGGTACCACTAGAAAGAACAACATACGGTACCGTACAGTAATCGGGATCGAAACTACAAGAACGGCTGGTGGCTCGTACGAGTACTCGTGCTAGTACGTACTCGTACAAAAGAGGTATGAAACGGTTCCATAAAAATAGTGCTATTGATTTACAACAGGTTATGAGTAGAAACGAAAACGCACCAATTTTACCGAACTCCAGCAATCTTCATTGCTGGATCTAATAACCTCTGTAGGCACCATCATCCATACCATACTACCTTCAAAGATATTGTTGAAAGAAAACATTCTTTTCTTTCCTCTTCCTGGTGTACATTTACTACTACTAGTACTACACATTGCAATGTTTTTCTTTGACGAGAGAACTACTACGACTACTACTAGTAGTAGTAGTATTTCTTTCTCCTTTCTTCTTTGGTGTTTCTTCTTGTCGTTGTTCTTGGCTGGTGACCAGCACCAGCATGGCAATTAGGGGTATTATTTGTACTACTATGTCAAAAGTACTATATTTTGCTCCAATTGCTCTAATATACTCATTGATTTCTGGCTCAATTGGCAGACTGACCATGGTGAGTGGATGGTTATGAAGAAGTACTGATAGAAGGATCCTCATGGAGAAGTTGAGCCATTTGTACATCACTGTCAATGTAAGACCAAATGCCACAGCCATTCCTCTGGCCACAGATCCTCTACTAGTTCTGTACCAAAAGAGTACTAGTCCAAGACAACAAGTAGCATCTGCCTCCCTTGGCTTTCCCTTCTTTTTTCCACCACTCCTAGTGGGTGGAGGAAGAAGAACAATCTCATTGTTCTTGTTGACTGAGTATCTGTTGAAAGCTGGAGCAAATAGCT